CCCCCCCCCCCCCCCCAGTCACTGTTTTTGTGGCAGTGCAGTTTGTGTACAAAGTACCTGAGAGCCTCAACCAGAGGTGCCTCGCCAGCAAGCCTGGCTCAGATGCCACGCACAGCCCAGGAAGCTCCGACTGGCAGTGTTTCCTCAGGCTTGCGGGCCATGTTCTGGATGGCAGGGAGCAGTCCCTGTGCCGCTGGCTGGGGACAGCATTCCAGCCCTTCTGAAGCAATGAGATGAATGTCCCTTTCAGAGTGTGGCGTGGATCCCCTCATCTGAATTCCTGGCAGCCTTCAAACGAGTGACTCCCCGCACTCTACTTATAAATCTTTGTAATGGTATTTACTTCTAGAAGGAAAAGCAGATCAATAGCTGAGCTTTTTAATAATTAAAAGTGTGTATTTCTGTAATCTGCCATTGACTTCCTCATTTATTCTGCAAGAGCTCGCAGAAGAGACTGAATTCCGGACTTTCTCCATGACTGGCGTTGGGGGCCAGTGTCCCTTCACTACTGATTACTCTGCCGCGCGGCCTATCCATCATCCCAAACGCCTTCTCATTTATTGTTGGGGTAATGTTGACAGAGGTGACACAGAGGACAGACACTGTGGGCTTGAAATGAAGCTGCCAGGATGTAGGTTTCCTGACAGAGACATAATCATCTTGTCATCCTAACCCAGCGCGTCTTCTGTTCTGGGCCTTGGCTTATGGGAAGGTTGGGCAGGGTGGATTAGGCCCTAATGTCCCTCGAGCCTGGCTCCCTGCTGCTACCCCCTCCACAGCTGGGGTTTTGAACTTGGCATTGTGAGGGCCTCGCTGTGTCCCTTGGAGGTGCTGAGTCTGACGACTCTCAGCACATGTTAAGGGGTTCTCTGCCACTCCAGGGATGGGCCTGGCAGAGAAAAGGGACGTGACCAACCTGGCCTTAGAGAACGAGCAAGCGAGGGCTTTCTGGGGTCAGTTCAAATAGGGTAAAGTCAGTAATTGCATTTTCTTTCAAAGCCCCAGGCTGGCCAGTTAGCTCAGTTGGTTAGAGTGCAGCCTTGTAACACCAAGGTCGAGGGTTTGGTTCCTGGTACCAGCCAGCCTCCAAAAAAAAAACCCCGAATCTTCATGTATTTGTCTCTCCCTGCATTTCTGAGAGCTCCAGGGGAAGTGGGCAGTAGCTGGTGCAGGGAACCTGTGCCGTGGACGGCCGTGGCTGGGGGTTTGGGGACACGCATGTGTTTTCTCTCCATCCCCATTTCCGGTCGTGCTTCTGGTTTCACTGTGTGCAGCTGTCACTTGGACCGGGATTTAAAAATATAATTTAATGCACACTGACTTCCCCTGATTGGTGCAATTAATTATTTGAAAAGAAAAATATCATAGCGTTCTTAAGGACTGGCTTTTCGCCAAGCTATGTCAGTTTTGATGGATATTTGATGCTGTGGCTGGTTTCTCCCCCAACTTGCCACCCACTCCCCCTTCCTGGGCTTTGACTTCTTGTTGGTTACTTAAATGAATCCAGTGATTTCTACCCATCTCTCTGGGGGAATAAATAAAAATTAACAGGCCTGAGAACTTACAGATCAACAATAAAAAGATGAACAACCCAATAAATAGGGATAAAAGGCTTGAACAGACACTCTGAAAGGAGATGGACAGCTGAACCAGCACGACTCGGTGTTAACATCTGGAAGTCAGAGAAAGGTGGTCGAAACCAGGCGCCACCCCTGCACACCAGAGTGGCACAAGTCACAGCAACGCCCCCGAGTGCTTGTGTGGAGGGAGCAGCCAGAGCCCCGTGCATGGCCGGTGCGATTGCAGGATGTGGGACCCTCGTGGAAACCGCCTGGCAATTCCTTGGAAACTTAAGCACCCACCTTGTTTTCCCAGCACTACCATGGTGCATATTTACTTTAGAGAAATGAAGATGTGTCTACACATCACAGCTGTCTTCACAAGATCCCTAACCGGAACCCGCACAAATGTCCATCAGCAGGAGAAGGGATAAGTAACCGGTGATGTATCCACACAACCGAACACCATTTACACAAAAAGGAACGAACTATTGGTGCACACAATGGCAGGACCGAATCTTGAAAACATGCTGAACAAAAGAACCCAGGCACAGGAGTACCAGCGAGTGACTGCATGTGAACCTCCAGAGAGAAGCGTCATCTGTGGTGACAGAAAGCACATCCACTGCCTGCTTAGCTCAGATGGTTAGAGCATGGGGTTATAACGCCAAGGTCAAGGATTCGGATCCCCATACCACCCAACCACAAATAAAACCCAAACAAACCAAAATAAAACAAAAAAAACCCCCACATCCCTGGTTGGGGAGGGGACTGCCTAAGGTGCTGGAATGTTCTGCTCCTGTTGGGGGCTGTGTTGCTGGGTGGAGGTACCTGATGCTCAGAACTCTGAACGACCTGTGGTCGTGCATTTTACTGAATGTTAAATAAAGACAGAGGAGCCCACCTGAGTTCAGAGAGACTCACTTCCACTCCATGAGCCTCAGTTTCCACCTCTGTGAATTGGGCCCACAGCCCCATCTCTGAGAAGCACTTTGCCCGAGTTCTGGGACACAGTGAGTGGGCATGATCACAGCTGTTACTTGCTGTCGATCCTTTGATGTGCTCTGTTGGTGGCTCTGCTGTTGGCAGCAGCATGGGGCAGTTGGTGTGGTCGTCTCCTCCACTGGGAGGGGAGACTGCCCCAGGGAGGCTGCAGCCACTCTGCCCTGGTAGGCACCCCTGCCTTTCCCTCCAGGCCGTGGGTCTGTCTCATCTTGGAACCCACCCTTCAGGCTCACCCCAGAGCTTGGTGCTCCAGACCATCTGGAATTGGTCTAGAAACATCAGATGGTCCTGCCAGCTCTGGTCTAAGGCATCCTGTCCTCCCTGCATGCTGGTGTGTCTTTGGTCTCTTTAACCTTGCTCAGACCCAATTCTAAGGATTCTGTGCTTGTGATGGTGACATCATTTGGGTCATCCTCTGGGCACGTTCTATGCATGGAGTCGGACATCCCTCTCTCACGCTAGGCAGGACATGGTCCTGCATGCACCCCCCTTCCTGGTCCCGGAGGACTCTGCAGCTGCTGCCAGCACCATCCACCCCCCAACCAGCCCCCAGCTGTGTCAGGACATGTCACAGTGGCCATGAGTGTGAGGCAGCCACCTCCAGAGGAGGAGACACCATCCCTCACTGCAAATGTGTGGAATGGAAAGGGCCCAGAATCGTAGAACTCAGCAGTCTCTGTGCCGTAGTTCACCATCGGGAGGATGCTATTGTCTGTCACCTGGGGACAGAGCTGGCTGTGCCGTGGTGAGCTGGGTGCTGCAGCAGAGCTGTGGACCTGGGGCTCCCACACGTTGAGTCCCCAGAGCCACCTTTGACTTTGTGGAGCTCTGCTGGCTTGTAAAGTTGGGGCGCCTTGACACTTGTTGGGAAGTCCTTGAGCCCTCGTCCTCCTGCTGTGCTCGCCCCTCACCTGCCCACCTCTCCCTCCTCAGATCACGCAGGAGGCTGGGGAGTTCATGATCACGTTTCCCTATGGCTACCACGCTGGCTTCAATCACGGTTTCAACTGCGCGGAATCTACCAATTTTGCTACCCTGCGGTGGATTGATTATGGCAAAGTGGCCACTCAGGTAAGAACCCGCAGACTCTGTGACAGTGTCTAAGTGGGGTGGGGGGTGGCCCTTCCTTGCCTCTGCAGACCACGGCCCAGGGCTTGTACAGTGGCCATTTATGCTCCGCCTGGGGCCTGTATGCTTTACCAGGGCCTGTTTTTAGCATCCTCAAGAGAGTTTGTGCCCAGAATGTTCCTTCCCTTGCAGAGTGTTCAGGAGGTGGGATAGGGGGGTGGACATGTGTGACGCAGGCCAGGCTCCGGTGTGCCCTGATCCCCAGCTGCCTGGCGCAGCAGCCTGGGCTGCTCTCACCTTGGGATTGGGGCTCTCCTCGGCTGTCACCATTGTCTCTCTCTGTCCTGGCTGGCCCTGTGGACATGTTCTGATTGCCTGTGCTCCTGAGGATGGGGGTTTTATTCCTGTTGGTTGACACTTGTCCTCTGAGGGCAGCTGAGCTGGGCAGGAGTCCACTCGGGCATCTGCCTTCATCCCTTTCTCCTGTGTCCCTTCCTGTGGCTCTTCCACAGCAGCGTACAACCTGTGTTCAGTGTCACCACCCTCCCCCCACTCTTTAGTGCCTGGGGGCTTCTTGTTGACTTGGCAATCCCTGGAGCTTATAGAAAGGTGAGGAGACGCATTTGATTTTTTTTTTTCCAGGTAATTTGTCATCCTGGTCTCAGGAGACCAATTATTGGCCAACAAAGTTGACATCTGAACTGAGCACTTGTTCTCAAGTTCCTCTTAACTCTGCGTGTGCCCATCCACCTGGTTTTCATTGACAACTTGGAGGGCTTGTGAGGCCACTTGATGGGAAGTCCGCAGGAGCTGCTGGGGGGTGGCCGAGGTGGCACCCAGATGACCACTCGCCCCGGCCTTTGCCTCACACTTGGCTCCCTTTGGAGCCCAGGGTAGCTTTGGAGGTTCCGATGACAGGGGCAGTGGACAGTGCTATGAACTCCAAGCCTCAGAGACAGGTCGGGGAGGAGGACACAGCCAGGAGGGGCCATTGGGATTATTCCCAGATCCAGGTGTTGGCAGGGGAAGGAGAAATGACAGGGCCAGACCTTCAGTCCTCCAGCATTTTCTGGACCCCACACCTTCACAGAAGAGGCTCTGGAGTTGCACTCACTAGGATTGCAGCCACTGACAGCCTCAAAATGTGGCTGGGGAGGGAGGACGGAAGTGACATCTGGTGACAACCAGGACTCAGCCCGTGGCAGAGAGCGTGAAATATCTTGCAAATAATTTGTTCATCTTGATAACATAGACTGATAATAATTTTGGATATATTGGGTTAAAAAAATATGTTATTAAGATGAATTTCACCTGGTTTTTTTTACTCTTTTAATGTGGCTACTAGAGAAATGAAAACCCTGGGTGGCTCGCATTACACTTCTGGACAGCGCTGGTCTGGACGAATGTTGCTAACCTTTATGTTGCTAATTAATTATTTCTCTAGCTTCACTGTTTTGGTGCAATTTAGAAAAGGAACTCGGCTGCATAGCAAGGAAGATTTGAGAGATTTTCCAGGGATTTAATTCAGAAAATCCTGGTGGGGGTTATCTTTAGTGAAGACTCTGAGCTTAGCTCAAAAAGAGAGAGTTGGAAGTCCAGATTTCCCCTTTTTGATCCAGAGGACTAATTAAATATCTCAGGGCTGTAGCTTTTGTGAGAGAGTTTGTGGCTGTGCGTGTCTGCATGGCCACAGGGACACCTTGGCTGGTGAGAAACCTGCCTGCATTGTGACTGGCCTGCAGCAAATTGAGTTGTAAGCCCTAGGCCTTGCTCCTGTCCTGGAGGTGCTGTTGGCGCCCAAACTGCATGGGGCCAGCAGGGACTGCCGAGATATTAAAAGCAATTTTGGGTTCAGCCATGTGTTCACAAACAAGTGACATTTGGGGAGTGCAGCCTTAGATTGGACCTACACGCTTACATTGTTAGGCGGCGTAGCGTGAAATTACTGAACAAGCAGTGCGCGGTGCTTGGAACGAACCAGGGGTTCCGGGCGGGCGTCCAGGTGCCAGGCTCCCTCTCAGAGCCCCCCAGCGGCCCTAGCCCCTGCTCAGGCACCCTGGTGTGGTTACTGGGCTGGGCAGCAAAGGGGGCTTGCCCAGGGAACGCGGTCAGCTGTGAGGTGTCCCTGGCTGTCTTGGGGTGTTGGCTGTCAGGCTCCTTGGTGGTGACATGGGCTGGCAGGGTTTGCTGCCCCCATAACTAGCCAGGGTACAGGGCTGCTAGAGTGTCTCTCTTCACAGATGACAAACTGGGGAGCATTGAAAGCAGGACTCATAAAAGGCAGGGAAACTGTTCTGGTCAGATGGGACCAGATTTGAGGGAAGGGTAGAAGCCCAGGCCTCGCCTGTGCCTGCATTTTGCCAGCTGGCCCAAGCTCTGCCAGCCCACTTGGGTTCTGGGCCAGTTTCCTTTTAGCCCATTCATCCGAAAATAACCAAGGAGGAGGATTTCCATGTCCTAGGTTGTTTTTGTTTGTTTGTTGGTGGCTGGCTGGTACAGGGATCAAACCCTTGACCTCGGTGTTATCAGCACCACACTCTGACCAGCTGAGCTAATCGGCCAGCCCTACCTCCTAGATTCTAGAGGCTTTTTCACTTGTTGGTTTGCTTATCTTCTTCAGATTCCCAGGAACCCCGCCAGTCCCCGTTTTCCCTTTTCTTTCCTTGTCTGTGCTCAAGAGCTACGAGATGAAAGCCGCACTCTTACATTCAGGCCTCATGTTCAGGGGTCTGCAGACAAGGGCCCGTGGGCCAAATCCGGCAGGGTGGCTGTTTTCATACACACCTTGCACATTTTTAAAGGGTTGGGGAAAAAAAATCTAAGGAAGAATATGTGATCTGTGACAATTATATGAAACTCAGACTTCATGCTCATGAATAAGTGGGGTTGGGCCAGAGCTGCGCCCATTGGGTAAAATGTTGCCAGCAGCTGCTTTCGCCCCATGGTGGTGGAGTTGAGTAGTTTCCCCAAGACCACCTGGTCCGCAAAGCCAAAATATTTGCTATTTGGCCCTTACAGAGGAAGTCTGTCGCCTCTGGGCTGACAAAGCCAGGGTGCTAGGCGAGCACTGGCCCAAGCGTAGCTATGGCCACCCAGCAGGCCAGGCCAAATGCTGTGTCTGCAGCTCCTACAATATCTTGCAAATAATTTGTTCATCTTGATAACATAGACTGATAATAATTTTGGATATATTGGGTTAAAAAAATATGTTATTAAGATGAATTTCACCTGGTTTTTTTTACTCTTTTAATGTGGCTACTAGAGAAATGAAAACCCTGGGTGGCTCGCATTACACTTCTGGACAGCGCTGGTCTGGACGAATGTTGCTAACCTTTATGTTGCTAATTAATTATTTCTCTAGCTTCACTGTTTTGGTGCAATTTAGAAAAGGAACTCGGCTGCATAGCAAGGAAGATTTGAGAGATTTTCCAGGGATTTAATTCAGAAAATCCTGGTGGGGGTTATCTTTAGTGAAGACTCTGAGCTTAGCTCAAAAAGAGAGAGTTGGAAGTCCAGATTTCCCCTTTTTGATCCAGAGGACTAATTAAATATCTCAGGGCTGTAGCTTTTGTGAGAGAGTTTGTGGCTGTGCGTGTCTGCATGGCCACAGGGACACCTTGGCTGGTGAGAAACCTGCCTGCATTGTGACTGGCCTGCAGCAAATTGAGTTGTAAGCCCTAGGCCTTGCTCCTGTCCTGGAGGTGCTGTTGGCGCCCAAACTGCATGGGGCCAGCAGGGACTGCCGAGATATTAAAAGCAATTTTGGGTTCAGCCATGTGTTCACAAACAAGTGACATTTGGGGAGTGCAGCCTTAGATTGGACCTACACGCTTACATTGTTAGGCGGCGTAGCGTGAAATTACTGAACAAGCAGTGCGCGGTGCTTGGAACGAACCAGGGGTTCCGGGCGGGCGTCCAGGTGCCAGGCTCCCTCTCAGAGCCCCCCAGCGGCCCTAGCCCCTGCTCAGGCACCCTGGTGTGGTTACTGGGCTGGGCAGCAAAGGGGGCTTGCCCAGGGAACGCGGTCAGCTGTGAGGTGTCCCTGGCTGTCTTGGGGTGTTGGCTGTCAGGCTCCTTGGTGGTGACATGGGCTGGCAGGGTTTGCTGCCCCCATAACTAGCCAGGGTACAGGGCTGCTAGAGTGTCTCTCTTCACAGATGACAAACTGGGGAGCATTGAAAGCAGGACTCATAAAAGGCAGGGAAACTGTTCTGGTCAGATGGGACCAGATTTGAGGGAAGGGTAGAAGCCCAGGCCTCGCCTGTGCCTGCATTTTGCCAGCTGGCCCAAGCTCTGCCAGCCCACTTGGGTTCTGGGCCAGTTTCCTTTTAGCCCATTCATCCGAAAATAACCAAGGAGGAGGATTTCCATGTCCTAGGTTGTTTTTGTTTGTTTGTTGGTGGCTGGCTGGTACAGGGATCAAACCCTTGACCTCGGTGTTATCAGCACCACACTCTGACCAGCTGAGCTAATCGGCCAGCCCTACCTCCTAGATTCTAGAGGCTTTTTCACTTGTTGGTTTGCTTATCTTCTTCAGATTCCCAGGAACCCCGCCAGTCCCCGTTTTCCCTTTTCTTTCCTTGTCTGTGCTCAAGAGCTACGAGATGAAAGCCGCACTCTTACATTCAGGCCTCATGTTCAGGGGTCTGCAGACAAGGGCCCGTGGGCCAAATCCGGCAGGGTGGCTGTTTTCATACACACCTTGCACATTTTTAAAGGGTTGGGGAAAAAAAATCTAAGGAAGAATATGTGATCTGTGACAATTATATGAAACTCAGACTTCATGCTCATGAATAAGTGGGGTTGGGCCAGAGCTGCGCCCATTGGGTAAAATGTTGCCAGCAGCTGCTTTCGCCCCATGGTGGTGGAGTTGAGTAGTTTCCCCAAGACCACCTGGTCCGCAAAGCCAAAATATTTGCTATTTGGCCCTTACAGAGGAAGTCTGTCGCCTCTGGGCTGACAAAGCCAGGGTGCTAGGCGAGCACTGGCCCAAGCGTAGCTAT